TGAAAGTTACAGGGTCAAATATATGGGTCAAATATTTTTACATTGAAAATGGCCAGGTTGGTTACGTTGCCTTTGAGAGTGTATGGTAGCCCAGGAATGAGAATTACCCCCATGATGGCATACCATTTGCAAAAGAAGACAACCCAAGGTATTGCAAATGGGGTATGTCCAGTCTTTTTTAGTAGCCACTTAGTCACAAACACTGGCCAAAATTAGCGTTCAATTTAGTTTTTTACTTTTTTCACACACAAACAAACATGAACGCTAACTCTGGCCAGTGTTTGCAACTAGGTGGCTACTAAAAAATACTGGACATACCCCATATTGAATACCCTGGGTTGTCTACTTAAAAAAATAAAAATGTACATGTGAGGTGTTATTCAGAAATTTATGACGATAATAGTTTTATATTGTCACTATTGATAAATTTTTTTAAAAATTTATGTTTTGAAACCGCAATATCCTACTTGTACCTATAGACCTATAACTTGCAAAAAAAAGCAAAAAAGCACGTAAACACTGGGTATTTTAAAACTCAGGACAAAATTTTGAATCTATTCAGCAGTTTTTTTTTATTCGCTTTTGTAGATGAGTAAAAGATTTTTCAAGTAAAAGTAAAAAAACATGTATTTTTTTAAATTTTTCATCATTTTTAAAAAATTTTTTAAATTAAATTACATGAGATTATATAAATAATGGTATGTAAAGAAAGCCTTTTTTGTCCTGAAAAAAACAATATATAATTTGTATAGGAACAGTAAATGAGAAAGCGGAAAATTACAGCTAAACACAAACACCACAAAAGTGTAAAAAGAGGCCTGTCATCATAGCAAAAACAGTCCAGTCCTTAAGGGGTTAAAGATGATCGTATCTTTTTATGTAGGTTGTAATGCATCTACATAATCTTCTAAAAACGATGAGCGAGGGTGGCATTTCACTTTGTCTGTTTAATTATAGCTTTATTTTGTAGTTTACTATAAAAAAGCAAACTGATTTTGCAAATTGCTGCAGGGAGAGCTAGCAGGGAATCCTAGAAATGATATTATAATGAATATTTGACACTGACTGTTGGAAGATGGTGAAAATAAAGCTAACTTTGCAGTACTTGCAGTGAACTCACAAAAGAATACTAAAATTTAGGCCAAAATGTCTGTTTTTAAAAAATAAAAAAAGTTTTTATTTAATAATGTGAGCATTCCAAGTAAATTTCAACCTTGAGATTAAAGGGACACTATAGTCACCCAGACCACTTCAGCTCAAAAAAGTGGTCTGGGTGCCAGGTCACTCAGGTTTTAACCCTTCACATGTTTACATACCTCTAGTCTTCCTGACAGCCGCTAGAGGCGCTTCTGCGACACTGGATGCGAAAATCGTATTCAGCGTGCCGAACGTCCATAGGAAAGCATTGAGAAATGCTTTCCTATGGACCGTTAGAATGTGCGCGCGTCTCTTGCCGTGCATGCGCATTCCGGTCCACTCAAGAGCTGTCGTTGGCGGGGGAGGAGAGGTCACCGTCGTCGAGGGAGCCCGGCGCTGGATTAAGGTAAGTGGCTGAAGGGGTTTTAACCCCTTCAGCCCAGCGGGAGGGGGGCCCTGAGGGTGAGGGTCGCCCAAAGATGACATAGTGTCAGCAAGATGAGTTTGTTTTCCTGACACTATAGTGATCCTTTAAATAGCCAAACGGGAAACATTCTCTACATCAACTACACTTCCAGTTCAACTACTCTGGCCTTAAGTTTGAAATTCAATTTGAATTAATTTGCAGTTCTCACTTTTGTAGATAATCCCGATAGGGTTTGAATGTTTTTTCATTACAGCTTTTTGTCAGGTTACAACAAATCACAATTTAGTGAATAGACACATTAGCTTGAGCCTCATTAAACACCATAACACATCCAAGCATGATTCTTACCGTGTTCCCAGCAGATGACAATTGCATACCATTCTGTGTTAATGAGGGGTTACTAGTGAATTCCTGCCTTAATGTCACAGTTAAATGATCACGCATGCCGCAACCCATGTGTAGAATAGTCATCTTGGAGTAATTACATGAGAGTATAAACGGACACTCCGGCCTCCCACACTCGTTACATGCACTTAGTTATACCTACCCGGTGGGTTTATATTATAAATCTATATTTGTTAAATATAGGGGATAAGGAAATATAATATTAAAAATACTGGGAAGTGACAGATAGATAGATAGATAGAGAGGTAGATAGATACATAGACAGATAGATAGATGGATAGATAGATACATTGATAGATAAATAGAGAGATAGACAGAGAGATAGATAGATGATAGATAGATAAATAGACAGATAGATATATAGATAGATAGATAGATCGATCGACAGACCATGTATTTATGTATCTATCTCTATCTACTAATACATCTATCTCAATGTCCAATGTGACTAGAATAAAGTTCTACTTTTGTTTGTGTTTAACAATTATGCTGACATTTTTCTATATAACCCCATCTGCATAGACAAAAGAACAACATGTTCCTGCTTAATGTTAGAAATAGGATCTTTATTTACCTTTCTCCCTCCTGTCTCCATTCAGTATATTAACTGTACGGTTGAAATGTATAGACATCCTGTGTCTTGGAGTAACGATACAGACAGATACAATGACACCAAAGCACACATGGAATCTAGATTCTGATTTTCGCTCTGTGGGTCACTGGATACGCCAACAGATTAGTTAAGATTTATGTGGTTTGGTACATTGTATATAAGGAACTCCAACCTACATTTTATGCTCTGGCTAGTTTGGGCGCAGATTTTCCTCTTTCCTGGTCATCTCCCACCGCTGCCCACCTTAGATTATGGTTTCTTTGTACGCCTCTGCGTCTTTGTTGGGGTAGCTTCCTTTATGGATCACTGTTGCACAACAAAACACTAGAATCCACAAACACAGTGAGTTTTTAAGGGCATGGTCTGCTGGGTTTAATTGTAAAGGACAATAAGACATTGCGAACTCTGGAGATGCAGGAGAGATTCCATGTTCCAGTCAATAGGTCCTTCTCTAATAAATGTTGTCATAAATCCAAGAAAACCCAGGGCCAGCGGGATCGTTATGTTTGCCATGTTGGTCGTTCTCTGTTAGAGTGCAGTAGGTTAACACTGTACGCCCTGTGTCTTTTGGACTTACTTCACACTTTAATACCAAACTACCACGAACTACTGCTGGTGGACTGAACCATCTAAAGAGAAGGAATGACTGACCATAATAATTATTAAGGTGGTAACTCATCGATAGCAAAGGGCTAATAATAGTACTAACTAGTTGAACAGTTCTGGAGGTGGTACTGACTGATTGTACAGAGCGGGGGGTGGTACTGACTGACCATACAGAGCTGGGGGTGGTACTGACTGATTGTACAGAGCTGGGGGTGGTACTGACTGATCATACAGAATAAGGGGTGGTACTGACTGATTGTACAGAGCTGGGGGTGGTACTGACTGATCGTACAGAGCTGGGGGTGGTACTGACTGATCGTACAGTGCTGGGGGTGGTACTGACTGACCATACAAAGCGGGGGATGGTACTGACTGATCGTACAGTGCTGGGGGTAGTACTGACTGATCATACAGTGCTGGGAATGGTACAGACTGATTGTACCGTGCTAGGGGTGGTACTGACTGATCGTACTGAGCTATAGGTGGTACCGACTGATCGTACAGAGCTGGGGGTGGTACTGACTGATCGTACAGTGCTGGAGGTGGTACTGACTGATCGTATAGAGGAGGTGGTACCGACTGATCGTACAGAGCTGGAGGTGGTACTGACTGATCGTACAGAGGAGGTGGTACCGACTGATTGTACAGTGCTGGGGGTGGTACTGACTGATTGTATAGTGCTGGGGGTGGTACTGACTAATCGTACAGAGCTGGGGGTGGTACTGACTGATCGTACAGTGCTGGAGGTGGTACTGACTGATCGTACAGAGCTGGGGGTGGTACTGACTGATCGTACAGTGCTGGGGGTGGTACTGACTGACCATACAGAGCGGGGGGTGGTACTGACTGATCGTACAGTGCTGGGGGTTGTACTGACTGATCGTACAGAGCTGGTGGTGGTACTGACTGATCGTGCGGAGCTGGGGGTGGTACTGACTGATCGTACAGAGCTGCAGTTGGTACTGACTGCACATTGCTAAAGGTGGTACTGACTGATCGTACAGTGCTGGGGGTGGTATTGACTGGTTGTACAGAGCTGGGGGTGAAACTGACTGATCGTACAGTGCTGGGGGTGGTACTGACTGATCGTACAGTGCTGGAGGGGGTACTGACTGATCATACAGAGCTGGAGGTGGTACTGACTGATTGTACAGTGCTTGGGGTGGTACTGACTGATCGTACAGAGCTGAAAGTAGTACTGACTGATTGTACAGTGCGGGGGGTGGTACTGACTGATTGTACAGAGCTGGAAGTGGTACTGACTGATTGTACAGTGCTGGGGGTGGTACTGACTGATCGTACAGAGCTCGGGGTGGTACTGACTGATTGTACAGAGCTGGAAGTGGTACTGACTGATTGTACAGTGCTGGGGGTGGTACTGACTGATCGTACAGAGCTGGAGTTGGTACTTACCGCACATTGCTAAAAGTGGTACTGACTGATCGTACATTGCTGGGGGTGTTATTGACTGGTTGTACAGAGCTGGGGGTGATACTGACTGATCGTACAGTGCTGGGGGTGGTACTGACTGATCATACAGAGCTGGAGGTGGTACTGACTGATTGTTCCTTGCTGGGGGTGGTACCGACTGATCGTACAGTGCTGGGGTTGGTACTGACTGATCGTACAGAGCTGAAAGTAGTACTGACTGATTGTACAGAGCTGGAAGTAGTACTGACTGATTGTACAGAGCTGGAAGTGGTACTGACTGATTGTACAGAGCTGGAAGTAGTACTGACTGATTGTACAGTGCTGGGGGTGGTACTGACTGATTGTACAGAGCTGGAAGTAGTACTGACTGATTGTACAGAGCTGGAAGTAGTACTGATTGATTGTACAGAGCTGGAAGTGGTACTGACTGATTGTACAGTGCTGGGGGTGGTACTGACTGATCGTACAGAGCTGGAGTTGGTACTTACCGCACATTGCTAAAAGTGGTACTGACTGATCGTACATTGCTGGGGGTGTTATTGACTGGTTGTACAGAGCTGGGGGTGATACTGACTGATCGTACAGTGCTGGGGGTGGTACTGACTGATCATACAGAGCTGGAGGTGGTACTGACTGATTGTTCCTTGCTGGGGGTGGTACTGACTGATCGTACAGTGCTGGGGTTGGTACTGGCTGATCGTACAGAGCTGAAAGTAGTACTGACTGATTGTACAGAGCTGGAAGTAGTACTGACTGATTGTACAGAGCTGGAAGTGGTACTGACTGATTGTACAGAGCTGGAAGTAGTACTGATTGATTGTACAGAGCTGGAAGTAGTACTGACTGATTGTACAGTGCTGGGGGTGGTACTGACTGATTGTACAGAGCTGGAAGTAGTACTAACTGATTGTACAGTGCTGGGGGTGGTACTGACTGATCGTACAGAGCTCGGGGTGGTACTGTCTGATCGCACAGTTCTGGAAGTGGTACTGACTGAACATATAGAGCTGGAGGTGGTATTGACTTATCATATCAGCCTGAATATCTGCCACCAGCCAGTTGTCCTTCATGACTCTCTAATGGGAGAATTTAAGAACTATGTGACTATTTTGTACTGCTACGATGTTAATTAAAATGTAAAAGTTGTAGAGTGGTTATTACCAGTGCTTAACGCGTAACGATACATAGAGCCCAATTTACTTCTGTACCACCAGTATGAACTCATACAATCAGTAAGGAAATAATTTAGCAGAACTATCACAGAGTGCTATATCCTACCACCAGCTGAACCATATTCATGGTTAAAATAAACCTAACTGGGATGTGAGACCTCAAGGCTTGCTCTGAAAAAGAAAGCAGATAAATATTTATTGTGGCACTGGGACACCGTGACTCTCTGATCGACTTTACCCTAGTTCATTATCAGAACCTCATGGAAAAACGCAGCTAAAAAATAGACATAACAAGAGTCAAACTGAGAGGTCACCCGGAAAAGAGAGCACCGCTTTCCATGTAGCAAAACATGCGTTCTGGTTATCAGATCTTCTGCAAAGGACCCCACCGGGAGTCCAGCTGACAGCGGCAAAGCCCAACAACGGAAATAGGAACCATGGAACAACTTCCCATGGCCCTTTTATGTTTCTATTGAAAACAAATCTCTTAAAACAATGTATTAGAGGAGTAATCAGGCACCATAACCACTCCAGCTCACTGTAGTGGTTATGGTGCCAAGGTTATGGGCTTTCTTACATGTTTTCTGAGAAGACGCATTCAGCGTTTGGATTTGTGCTCAGTATCAGCTGCAGTGAGTGTGCAGCATTTGGATCTGTGCTGAGTATCAGCTGCAGTGAGTGTGCAGCATTTGGATCTGTGCTGAGTATCAGCTTCAGTGAGTGTGCAGTGTTTGGATCTGTGCTAAGTATCAGCTGCAGTGAGTGTGCAGCGTTTGGATCTGTGCTAAGTATCAGCTGCAGTGAGTGTGCAGTGTTTGGATCTGTGCTGTGTATCAGCTGCAGTGAGTGTGCAGCGTTTGGATCTGTGCTGTGTATCAGCTGCAGTGAGTGTGCAGTGTTTGGGCCAGAGCTATGTATCAGCTGCAGTGAGTGTGCAGCGTTTGGATCTGTGCTGTGTATCAGCTGCAGTGAGTGTGTGCAGCGTTTGGATCTGTGCTGTGTATCAGCTGCAGTGAGTGTGCAGCGTTTGGATCTGTGCTGAGTATCAGCTGCAGTGAGTTTGCAGTGTTGGGTCAGTGCTGTGTATCAGCTGCAGTGAGTGTGCAGCGTTTGGATCTGTGCTGAGTATCAGCTGCAGTGAGTGTGCAGTGTTTGGGTCAGTGCTGTGTATCAGCTGCAGTGAGTGTGCAGTGTTTGGGTCAGAGCTGTGTATCAGCTGCAGTGAGTGTGCAGTGTTTGGATCAGTGCTGTGTATCAGCTGCAGTGAGTGTGCAGCGTTTGGATCTGTGCTGAGTATCAGCTGCAGTGAGTGTGCAGTGTTTGGGTCAGAGCTGTGTATCAGCTGCAGTGAGTGTGCAGTGTTTGGATCAGTGCTGTGTATCAGCTGCAGTGAGTGTGCAGTGTTTGGGTCAGAGCTGTGTATCAGTTGCAGTGAGTGTGCAGCATTTGGATCTGTGCTGTGTATCAGCTGCAGTGAGTGTGGAGTGTTTGGGTCAGTGCTGTGTATCAGCTTCAGTGAGTGTGCAGTGTTTGGATCTGTGCTGTGTATCAGCTGCAGTGAGTGCGCAGTGTTTGGATTTGTGCTGTGTATCAGCTGCAGTGAGTGTGCAGCGTTTGGATCTGTGCTGAGTATCAGCTGCAGTGAGTTTGCAGTGTTTCTATTGAAAACAAATCTCTTAAAACAATGTATTAGAGGAGTAATAAGGCACCATAACCACTCCAGCTCACTGTAGTGGTTATGGTGCCAAGGTTACGGGCTTTCTTACATGTTTTCTGAGAAGACGCATTCAGCGTTTGGATTTGTGCTCAGTATCAGCTGCAGTGAGTGTGCAGCATTTGGATCTGTGCTGAGTATCAGCTGCAGTGAGTGTGCAGCATTTGGATCTGTGCTGAGTATCAGCTTCAGTGAGTGTGCAGTGTTTGGATCTGTGCTGTGTATCAGTTGCAGTGAGTGTGCAGTGTTTGGATCAGTGCTGTGTATCAGCTGCAGTGAGTGTGCAGCGTTTGGATCTGTGCTGAGTATCAGCTGCAGTGAGTGTGCAGTGTTTGGGTCAGAGCTGTGTATCAGCTGCAGTGAGTGTGCAGTGTTTGGATCAGTGCTGTGTATCAGCTGCAGTGAGTGTGCAGCGTTTGGATTTGTGCTGAGTATCAGCTGCAGTGAGTGTGCAGTGTTTGGGTCAGAGCTGTGTATCAGCTGCAGTGAGTGTGCAGCGTTTGGATCTGTGCTGTGTATCAGCTGCAGTGAGTGTGGAGTGTTTGGGTCAGTGCTGTGAATCAGCTGCAGCGAGTGTGCAGTGTTTGGATCTGTGCTGTGTATCAGCTGCAGTGAGTGTGCAGTGTTTGGATCACTGCTTTGTATCAGCTGCAGTGAGTGTGCAGTGTTTGGGTCAGAGCTGTGCATTAGCTGCAGTGAGTGTGCAGTGTTTGGATCTATGCTGTGTATCAGCTGCAGTGAGTGTGCAGCGTTTGGGTCAGTGCTGTGTATCAGCTGCAGTGAGTGCGCAGTGTTTGGATTTGTGCTGTGTATCAGCTGCAGTGAGTGTGCAGTGTTTGGATTTGTGCTGTGTATCAGCTGCAGTGAGTGTGCAGTGTTTGGATCTGTGCTGTGTATCAGCTGCAGTGAGTGCGCAGTGTTTGGATTTGGATCTATGCTATGTATCAGCTGCAGTGAGTGTGCAGTGTTTGGGTCAGAGCTGTGCATTAGCTGCAGTGAGTGTGCAGTGTTTGGATCTGTGCTGTGTATCAGCTGCAGTGAGTGTGCAGTGTGTGCGCCTGTGACTAACGCCTCCTGCTGATCCCCTTCTCAGCTCAGATTCCCATCCTAATGAAAGCCTTTCTGAGAGAGGGGCCCAGGGCTGTGGGAAAGTTAGAAGTGGAGATAAAGGTGGTAATGTGACTAGAGGGGGGGAGTGAGAGAACGAGTGAGGGGGAAGAATTCACATCCCCTGCTTGGCTGTCGTAATGTAACGCCTTTGCACGGTGATGTTTATTGATATAGAGCTGGGCCTGTCTTTCCCCATGCTCAACCCCAGGTGCGGGAATCCAGGGGCCCCTACCTCTACAGCCTAAAGGTTCTGCCAACTGGGGCCAGCAGGGGTAGCAATATAAAGGGCGCTATCACCTCCAGGCCATGAAATCGGCAGAATCTTTCTCAGAATAAAACATTATATCATTTTTACAGACCTCTCTACCCATAATCCCCTGCTCCACACATCTGTCTGTCTGCAGGGGAGCCGGACGCTGTCTGCAGCTGATGGGCACAGGGTTTAATGTCAGACCCCCTGCCAGCTGCATGGATGCTATGGGTTACAAGATACAGTCTGACTCCCCATAATATTACAACTGGCGTCTAATTCATCCCTTGCGCCGCGCCATTAACCCTACTGAGGATTCCAGAGTCCCGCAATACGTTGTAAAACTAGAGTTAGTCTGGAGACCCAATAACATGTTTGTACAAGACAAAGCGGAGTTAATCTCATGGGATTAAAGTAACATACTTGGGGAAGAGGGATTTAGGGGTTATAGACCAAATAAATTGGTCAGTCTCGCTATTTGTGAGATAAAAGGGCATCTTGCTCTATGCCGAAGCCGAATGGGCCAGTGATTTAAAATGACGGGAATATTTGCTCGTATTTTGCAATAATAGCTACAGTTGTATTAGTATTTCAATCAGTAAATTTTTGTATTGGTATCTCTTATTTATTGTTTATTAACAATACACTGACTGTGGTGGATAAGTTACATTCTAAATCATGTTATGTGTATTGTATTAACCCTTTTACTACAAAATCATTTAATCATCTGAAGAGCGAGGCAAAATTCTAAGAGTGGGGCAGTTGCCATGGAAACCAATGAAGTCAGCAGCAGTATTCCACTGTCATTGCGCTACTTGTTAGATTTCGACACTTTGATACATTTTCCTTTCTATAGGACTAAATGGAGCAGATCGTGTTAGAGATGTCAGCGTTATTTATCTATAAGCAGCCTAAATTCTACACAATGGGGATATTTATAAAAGGTTTATGCTCAAAATAATTTCGCAAACGTTGTAAAAAGTGTAGCTCTCTGATTGCAATGATTTGAGGGTTTCTGTGGTGACTGCCTCACTTTTAGAATTTTGCACCACTTTTCTAATTGTGTTACCTTGATAAATCTCTCATAATGTGACCAACATAGATTTCTCTGTAGCTATACAGCTGCCCATCCTCGGATAATGCTTGCTGCTGGGCAGGGCCAGATTAAGAGCCCAGTGGGCCTGGTGCTGACAATTATGATGAGGCCTAATTACAGAATTGTCACGGCCCCCGGCTCGCCGCGAGTTGCGGTCGCACCGGACCAGTGCGACCGCGCCAACGAACTGAGCTTACCTGCTCAGCGTGAGTCGGGAGCCACTCTGCCGGGTTCTCCCGGCTGCCTGCCCGGGTTCAAGATGGTGCCGAACACGCGGTCGC